TCAAGTACAATACTGAATAAATATGGGGAGGGTGGACAGCCTTGTCTTGTCCTGATTTTATTGCTTTGAGTTTCTCTCCGTTTAATTTGATGGTGGCTGTTGGCTTGCTGTAAATTGCCTTTATTATGTTTAGGAATGTTCCTTGTATTCCTGATCTCTCTAAGACCTTTATCATGAAGGGGTGTTGGATTTTGTCAAAGGCTTTTTCAGCATCTAATGAGATGATCATGTGGTTTCTTTCTTTCAGTTTGTTTATATGGTGTATTACACTGACAGATTTTCATATGTTGAACCATCATTGCATCCCTGGGATGAAACCTACTTGGTCATGATAGATAATTTTTTTGATGTATTCTTGGATTCGGTTTGCCAATATTTTGTTGAGGATTTTTGCATCAATGTTCATGAGGGAGATTGGTCTGTAATTCTCTTTCTTTGTTGCATCTTTGTGTGGTTTGGGTATCAGGGTAATTGCAGCCTCATAAAAAAAGTTTGGTAGTGTTCCTTCTGTTTCTATTGTGTGGAACAATTTGAAGAGTATTGATTGGTATTAGTTCTTCTTTGAAAGCCTGGTAGAATTCTGTACTGAAACCATCTGGTCCTGGGCTTTTTTTGGTTAGGAGACTTTTGATGACTGTTTCTATTTCTTTAGGAGTTATTGAGCTATTTAAATGGTTTATCTGGTTTTGATTTAATTTTGGTATGTGGTACCTATTCAGAAAGTTGTCCATTTCTTTGAGATTTTCCATTTTTTGTGGAGTACAGGTTTTTGAAGTATGACCTGATGATTCTCTGGATTTCCTCATTGTCTGTTGTTATGTCTCCCAGAAGATAATGTATGGTAACTGCTTTTTCAAGTATGTTTGAGAACGTGTCACCCAAACACCTTGGAGATTAAGGATAATCCTGAAGGTCACTGACCTCCATTTGTTAACAGTTGCATGCCAGCTAAGCCTTTTCATTTTCAAAATCCTCTTCAAGCTGGTGTAGTACCTACTTTTCAGGAGTGGCTCTGTGCAACATTTATTGGCCTCCTGAAATTCATTTAGCCCCCTTTGAAGATACCTTAAAATTTATGAACCTAAATGTAGCCATTATAAGACATTAGTTATGCTCCTTGTGAGCTGCCTGTTTTTTCTTTATGGTTTTTAGTTGTTCTTTTGTAGAGCTGCCAGATTAAATCATGCTGGGATCAAGAAATATGGGCCTTGGCAGTTCGTGTTCCTGGAGTTGTATCCATGCCAGTGGAAACCCATACATTCCAGAAGAGAATTTGACATTGCTGCTGCTGTTGTTGCTGTTATAGCAGAGGTGGCCACCGCTGCTACTGTTTCCAGGATTACCATCTCATAATTGGTTAGTACAGCTAGCACAGTGGAGACCCTGGCAGGAAAAGTAGTTACCACAATTAATTAATCTTTCATCTATTGGGCATGATAAATTTAATTCAATAGTTATATACATTTCAATTGGCTTTGAAAATTATAAATTTATAAACTCAAGTTCCATTTGCTTTTGGGATACCATCTTACAAGGACTCCAATTTGCAGTAAGGCTCGTTAAGGAAGGGAATGGCTCAGTTGCCTTTAGCCTACTGGCTATGGGTGGGTTAGGACTTCTATTGGTCTTTTCTGTGTTGAACACACAGATTGCAAGCCCAGCACCACTTTGAGATATTTGGCAGCAGTTAACTCTGCAGCTCACACACGATTGAGCCTGTATGATAATGAGTATTCAGAGAAGGGTAATGCCTGGGGGGCGCTCACCAACCTAAGACAGAGCGCCTGTGTGGCCTGGGCAGGTGTCTCTGTGACAGGTAAGGTGACCTGCTGACGTCCCACGCAACCTAAGTCAGAAACTCATTTATTAGTAAAAGGGGGACCTGTAGGGTCCTGGCCCCCGTTTTCAGTAACTGTTGCCTTGCTTGCTGACCTTGACCTTGATATCCTCCCTATGCTAATTCCCTCCCAGGTTTCACCCTCCTGAATGCTTAAGGGAAGTTCCTTGTCCGTGTATCCTGCATAATGGGCGTTAACAGCTTTGATGCAAGATTGTAAAACATCGGTGAACTTCTGCCCTCCGGGGTTCTCCCATTGTGCTGTAAGCCAGTATTTAAGACCTCCTCCCTCCTTCAATAAATGGCATTCAGCATTAAAAAAAAGAAAAAGGAAAAGGAAAAAGCGGGGAAAAAAAAAAGAAAAGAATTTTATGGTTGGGTGTCACCACAACAAGAGGAACTGTCATTAAAGGGTCACAGCGTTAGGAAGGTTGAGAACCAGTGAACTAGAAGAACAGAACTTTTAGAATATATATAGACAGATACACACACACACACACACACACACACACACACACACACACACACACGATGTGGGGTTGTATTAGAATGACTTACAGGCTGTGGTCCAGCTGTCTATGAACAGAAGGTCCGAGAACCCAGCAGTTGTTCAGTCCATGAGGCTGCATGTCTCAACTGGTCTTCAGTGTATGCCAGAATCCTGAATAAGTAGACTCTAATGCAGCGAAGGAATGGACTATGGAGAATGAAAGCGAGCAGGCAGAGTACACTTCCTGCTCCTGGGTCCTTTATCTAGGCTGCCAGCAGGTGGTGGGGCCCAGATTAAAGGCAGGTCTTCCCACCTCAAAGAGCTGGATCAGAAGTGGCTCTCCTCACTTCAAATAATTCAGTGAAGCAAAAATCCCTCACAGGTGTGACCAGCCATGGGTTTCAGTTAATTTCAGTTGTAGACAAGTTAGCCAGCCCAGTGACCATTATCTTTACTGTGACTTATCGACAAATCTTATCCATCCTTAAGTCCCTTGCCTAGCTTAACAGCTAAACTCTTTCATGATATGGATGTGCCCGAATTTAACTAGCCTGATCATGGCCTAATACTAATACATAACTGGCTTTTAGTGTGATACTTTAAACAAGAGCCCGACCAATACAGCCCTCAATGTCTTCCTCTCTACCCATGCTGGTGTGCACCTGCAGGGACATTCCTAAAAACACTCAAAGACAGACCATGCCGTGCAGTCGCTGAATCAACCTTCCATGCTATGCTACATCCAAGGCTCTGAAACCTCTGTACCTCCCCAGCCTGAGACAATGCACAGCAGATGACAGGTGCTCTCAAACTGTCTGCCGTTTGCCCAATCTGAGTGTTGAAACATGTCGCTCATGAGTTTTGTTTGCCTCTGTTAGCAGAAGTTGGGCATCTGTTTTTGTGGTGAAGAGCCCTTTGTATTTGTTGGCTTTTTTCTTATCAATATTTTGGATTTCTCTTAGTAGTCATAAGAAAGGGGAGCTAGGAGTGTATCTCAGTGTTCAAGTGCCTGTCTAGCATGAGGGAAGCCCTAGGCTAACTCCCCAGCCTAGAAAAAAAGGAAAGAAATACACTTTTTGTGATATGAATAGAAAAATTTTCCCTCTAGTGTTTGTTTGTTTATTTTCCCTCCAAACTGTCATTGGTAACACTACTTTGTAGATGAATTCCCTTTTGTTTTCATGCTCTGGGTTTTAATGCCATACTTAGAAGTGCTACTCCCGTATCTGAGGCAACTAAAAATATTCTGGCATTAACTAATCCTCCAAGTATTCTGCCATTAACTTGTGTGTGTGTGTGTGTGTGTGTGTGTGTGTGTGTGTGTGTGTGTGTGTGTGTATGTGTGTGTACTACATGTGGACAGATACCCACTGGAGTTATAGCTGGTTGTGAAATGACTGACGTGGTTCCCGAGAGCCAAACCCAGGTCCTCTGGAAGAGCAGCCAGTGCTCTTACCCACCGGGCCATCTCATCAGCTCCTTAGTTGTGTTTTCTAATGCTCACAACAGTCCTCTGCAATGCAGAAGGTTGTAACAGGAATCTTAGAGAGTCTTATTAATAAAATCAAACCCGGGGCCAGTTATTGGGGTGAAATGCTGGTCAGAGAGACAGAACAAGCCACAGCTAACCTCACCTGGCCAACTTCTCAGCTGGTCTTGTTTCCTCAGACTGGAAGCCTCTGTGTACTCATATCCGAATGGCTCTCAGCTGAACTGTGCTGCTCAAAAGCCTGAAAGCTTAACCAGCCAAATGCTTCTAGTTTCTGGTCCTCACGCCTTACATACCTTTCTGCTTTCTACCACCACTCCCTGGGATTAAAAGTTTGCTTTCTGGGATTAAAGGCGTGTGTCACCACACCTGGCCGTTTCCAATGTGGCCTTGAACTCACAGAGATCCAGAGGGATTTCTACCTCTGGAGTGCTAGGATTAAAGGTGTGAGTGCCACCATTTTCTAGCCTTTGTATCTAGTGGCTGTTCTGTCATTAACCCCAGATAAGTTTATTAGGGTGAACAATATTTTGGGGAACACAATACCACCACAGATGGTTATCTCCACTTTGTAGGTGAGGAACTCAGGTCTCCAGAAGACTCAGTCTTGGTGAGAGACCCTGCTGATTTCTGGACTCCACGAGAGGACTCAGTCTTGGTGAGAGACCCTGCTGATTTCTGGACTCCACATCTACATCTCTGGCTCCCCTCTGCTTTTTTTTTTTTTTTTTTTTTTTTTTTTTTTTTTTTTTGTCTGCAGACAGGGCTTCCTGCTGGCCTGGAGCTTGTCAGGTAACTTAATTTTGCTGGCCACTAAGGCCCATGGATCTGTCTTCTTCACTTGCCAAGCACCCAGATTATAAACGTGGTCATCATGCCAAGCCTGTTTTGTTTTTTAAATATGGGTTCCGGGGAATGAACTCAGGGCTTCAGGCTTGCATGCCAAGCACTTGACCAACTAAACTATCTCCCCAGACTCCTCAAAACAAAGCTTCTAAAAGGGCTGCAGCTATAGCTTAGTGATTAGAGGCCTACTATGTGCAAGCTACGTGTGAGTCTTAAGGTGTGTGTGAGCCTTTGGATGCTGGTTCTGCTTTGATTTACAAAGCAAATTCACAAAACACCAATGCCCTTTTTCCCAAAGGGGGTGCATCCTAAACCCTTCAGTGAGTTCCTGAAACAGATGATATTAAACCAGGTATTTTTTTTATACACACAACCCTATGACAATGTTAGTTTATAAGTTCAGTACAGTAAGAGATAAAAACTAATAATAAAATTGAACAGTGGCAGCAGTGTTAGATAACAAGAGGTATGTGAACATAACTGCTCTATCTTGAAAGAGATGAGACAAATTTTAATATTTTGGATTATGGTTGATCAGTAGTCATGGAGGTGGAAAGAGCAACCTCAGATAAGAAACGACGCTATGTGAGGTCTGTCGAGGGTAGGAGTCCCCAGAAGCCAATGTCCTCAGCTGCCCATGGTTTGAGAAGATGTGACGACGCTGGAGAATCATGCCGGTAAAACTCAAAGCCTACTTCTCCTTCAAGAGGACAAGGATGGGTACAACTGTGGCTTACCTACCACAGCAAGTTTGGCTTAGCCTCCTTACCGTCCCTTCTGTGAAGGTAGAAAATTAACTCGTGACAAATGAGCCAATGTTTCACCTTGAAATCTGTCCCTCTTTCCCGGAACCCTTAGTCCTTTGGGGAGTTACTGCTGCTCCCCAGGTTGCAGAGCCTGAAGCCAGTTTTTCCTCATGATGCCTCTGAACCTTGACCCTTCTTTTCCATTCTCACTGCCAAGTCCAAGTTTTACTGCCTTGAGCCTGAGCAGTCGCGGTAGACATTATGTTTTCGCCCTTGTCTCACAGGTAAACCGGGTCTAAGTTCAGATAGGACTCTCCCTATGGGGCCTTTTTGGCTCCTAGGAGTCACAGCCCATAGTCCCTGACACAAAGCTCTGCTAAGACTACACAGGCTGCCTTTCCAGTTGTCAACTGTGTGACCTGAGGTGCATTACCACCCTTAGCTTTGTAGAGCCCTGGCTTCATCTTATAGACGGTAAAGAGCAGGCTGTGGCTGATGCAAAGAAACTGTGTGTATGGAAACAGAGCTAGCCTGCCCTTGCTCCCTCTGCTTGCCTAACTCTTCAGAGCCTGGGACCTTTGTGCAGCAGTGTGGATACAGAGCAGGCATTGAATTAAGAATGAATACATACCCTCCTTGTTCCTCCAAGTTTCTCTTTAATCCCTTCTGCGTGTGGTCAAATTGATGCTCTTCCAATTAGGTTTTCAACAAGCATGTCACTTCTTGTTTAAAATATCATATGACCATGCACTTATTTCTATTTATATAAGCAAAAAGAGACAAGTGAAAGTTGCTGTATCCCTACTAGTTAGTGTTTTGACCTCCTGGTTCTCTATCCTTAGACACCTCTTATTGTTCAACAATCTCATTCATTTCAAATGGGAAAGATGAGTGCAGACTTTTTCATGAAACACAATGCCACCTTCCATTGTCTTCTCGGTATTTCACACATGGTCATTTTGTTTTCAAGTTTATTTCCTTAAACAGTGCTAGCACGGATATTTGTGTGCATAAATCTTTGACCGTCTTTCTCTACACATTTGGGAACTATGGCAGTGGCTACATCTCTCCCCAATACTCAGGGCATCCAAGCTTTCTTTGTTGACGCCCTGAACCTTCGCAGCAGTGTTTTGAAAGAGAGTGTATCATTTCCACCCCACAGATGACAAAATCAAAGCACAAACGGGCAGAGAAATGCTCTGGACACAGGAGTGTGTGCTCTCCTTGTCTGTTTTCTCTTGCTAATAGCATAATACCTCAGGCTGGGTGAGTCACAGGGATGTTTGTTTTGGCTCCTGGCTGTGCACCAAGGTCAAGGGGCCGCATCTGCTGATGGTCTTCTTGTTGGCAGTTTTGAAGCAGGGAAACACACCTCAGGGGACAAGGAGCAGGCACAAGCCTCTTCCTGCCACTCTCGGGGTCTCACACTGATGGCCTTATTTAACCCTAATCATCTCTCAAAGATCCCATCATTTAAAAACATATTTCACATTTTTATTCATTTATGTGCTTGGGTGTTTTGCCTACATGAATGTCTGTGTACCATTTGCCTACAAAGGCCAGAGAATGTCAGATCCCCAGGAACTGGAGGTATCGTCAGTTGTGAGCCTCTGTGTGGGGGCTGAGAATCGAAGCTAGATCCTCTGAAAGAGTAGCCAGTGCTTTAACTGTTGAGACAACTTTCCTGCCCTAAGCCTCCATCTTTAAACACTAGAGCTGGGTTAAGTTCTACCCTCTCAATTCCACACAATGAGAATTAAACTCCAACATGAGTTCCAGCGAGGTCAAGTCATATTCATGCCATAGCAAGAGTGGAAATTAACCTCCTTCCCACAAAGACCCATGTGCTCAGTCTTGAACATTTCTTCTCTTTTGTTTCCTTTCGTTTTGAATCAGGCTCTTACCATGGAGCCAGACTGACCTTGAACTAATAATCCTCCTGTGGAAGCCTCCAGGCTGAGGTTCCAAGCACGCACCACCCGTTCAACAGTCATTCACAACAGTTTAAGGCTCTTGACACAATTGTCAAATGGCTCCTCAGAGAGGTTGCTCTGATCTACACTTCCCCAGTAATAGGAATCTCTACTGTTCTGCCTCTTTCCTTCAAATGATGATTGCCAGCCATCTGCTTCTCACCTTTGTGAGTTGCCTCTCCAGGGAAGTTGTGCATCCAACAGTAAAGGACTCCCATGGACCATCATCATCATGGATAAGCATCATCTAGCTGAGCATCCCAGCAGCAGGCACACTGGCAACACTTCCCACAGAACTTGGCCACCTCGATTCCACTTGGATGTGTAAATAATCCAAGGAAATGCAAAAACAGAAGGATTGGCTGTGCTGGAGAACAGGAGGCCTGGAGGCAGCCTTGACTCATGCCTGGCCTACTTTGTGCTGGGGTATATGTGGGTGTGCGTGCATGCGTGTGTGCGTGTGCTTGTGATATGTGCATGTGTCTGTGTCCAGAGGCCCATGTATACACAGAGGCCATCCAGAAGTCTTGTGTTTACAAGTTGTAATTCCAGCAAAAGGGGCTTCTTATTGTCTATAAGCTGGCTCTTCCTGTGTCCCAGTATAACTTCAAAGAAAACAAAACTGGTTTCCTTTGTTATATTTTAAGTGCAAAGGTAATAGAAGAAAGAAAACTTGTGGATTTTCTTATGCCAATCAAAATATCATTTAAATTCTGCATCTTGACCACACAGGGAGTCTAGGAATGAACAATACTCTGTCGGGACCTCCTCACAAAAGCATCTGAATCAGTTCTCCTCAGTTTTTCTGCCAGGTTTCTTCCACGGCAGTCAATGCCTGAGGCAGCGTGGTACACTAAGAAACACACATTTGGTCTCTGGTCCTTGTTCCCAGCACAGAGATCCCCATCCCCCATAAGCCTCTGATTGATAGGAGCCTAGAAGCATACTTTGTTCTAATACTGGTCTAGCCTACTCTTGACTCAGAGCTCCTACATTCTATAAAATGGCCTGGGTGGTAGAACACTTTGTGGCATTGAGGTGATCCTTGGCTCCTGGACAACTTCTGGACGGGGGCTGGTCACCAAAATGAGTAGAAGCTTGGAGCTTTCAGCCTCATCCCTTCCCTCTGGGGAGAGGGGCCAGAGTTAATCCAGCACGACTGTGTGACACATCTCCGCCATGCTAGGATGGCATGCTCTGCTTCCATGAAGGCCCCGCCTGTCACCTGCGTACCTCTTCACTCGGCTGTTCAGGGAGGTCCTCGGCAACATCCTATTTAATAAGCTGGTAGACATGCGCATTTCCCTGATTTCTGTGAGCATCACAGTCAATTATTATACTTGAGGAGATGCTCATGGGGCCCTGAGCTAAGGGACCCAGGAAGGGCAGCCAATTGCTGGCTGAAGCAGGGGTGGTCTTGTGTGTCCCTCTTCCTTCCGCAACTGGCTGAGCTCCACCCAGGAAAGAATCTGAGGGAAACTGAAGACTAAATGCTCCTGCACCGTCACTGTCCTTTAACAAGACTGAGGAGAGGAAGGGTTGCCCAGAACTGCTCCCAGGTGGATGAGGCACTGACAGCCATTCCTAACATAAAGTATGACTCTTAACAAATCAGCCATGCTCAGTTATGGAGCTGTCCATTCCTCAAGTGGATAGACCCAGTGCCTTTGCACAGTCCTTGACAGGGAATGCAGTGAAATACTGTGTAGTTGGGCTTTCTTTGAACCGCCAGCTCCCGAATAATGACACAGAGACATCTTATTAAGTATGAAAGCATGGCCTTAGCTTTTGCTTGTTCCCACGCAGCTCTTATAACTTAAATTAACCCATTTATATTAATCTATGTTCTGCAATGTGCCTCCATACCGTACATCCAACTCCCTCCGAGTCTCACTGGCACTTCCATCTCTCTTCTTCCCAGAGTTCCTCTCTTTCCCCAGAAGTCCTGCCTATCCCTCCTGCCTAGCTATTGGCTGTTCAGCTCTTTTATTAAACCAGTCAGAGGTGCCTTGGCAAAGACACATCTTCACAGTGTACAAAAAGATTCTCCCACAACAATGTCTTCTTGTCCCCACAGGCATCAGGTGTCTAAAGAAAACAGTGGTCCCATGTTGTTTGAGCCTTGAACGGTGTTGGAGGTAGCTGGTGCCGTTGATGAGGAGATGATGAGTTCTTTAGGCAGGAAGTAGAGACTTGGAGGTCAAATCATGGAAGGAAGTGGAGAGATAGTTACTGACTGTCCTAGACCTTTGCTTCTTAACTGCAGGTTGAAATCCTAATGGCTCGAGTAACTGAATATGGAGATTGCAAAAAGGTTTCTGAATGATCAATAACCAACAATTTAAAAAATCAAACACATAACAGATTCTAGTATTTCTAGCAGAGTTAGTGCTCAGTTATGTTGCCCCGTGACTTCACTGAGGCCTTGCTTCTGAACACAGAACATATGCATTTGTCACCATGCACGTGGTCTCACCAGCAACACAGTAGTGATCAGTAGATGACTGCCTGAAACAGCTCAGACGGTGCCCATAGAGGTCAGAAGAAGGCACTGGATTTCCTGGAATTGGCATGAAGGATGATTGAAAGCCACCAGCTGGTTGCTGGGAACCAAACCTGGGTCCTTGCAAGAGCAACGAGTGCTCTTAACAGACGCACTGTCTCCTCAGCGCTCACGTCCATTGTTTGGTGCTGTGTGTTCATGTGAGGTAGTGTTCTCAGCACTGATGTCAATTCTGAAAATAACCAAGATGCTCTGCGTCCTGCACTGCCAAATGTCAGACAGGGTTCAACTTTAAATACATCACTACTGTGCCAATTTGAAGTCATCTTTAATAAGTGGCAAATTTATATGAGTATCAAAATTGTTTTAAACAAATTTCATGATTTATTGCCAGTAAATGTTTTGTGTACATATTTTATATACCTGTGTGCTATGGTCACATAAAAATTTCTTTGGCAAAAGGGGTTGTGATTGGGAGAGTTTAAGAAGCCCTGGCCTGAGCTGGGCAGTGGTGGCGCATGCCTTTAATGAGTTCATCAAAAGGTGTGAGTTCAAGGCCAGCCTGGTCTACAGAGGGAGTTCCAGGACAGTCAGGGCTACACAGAGAAACTCTGTCTCAAAAAAAGAAAGAAAGAAAGGAAGGAAGGAAGGAAGGAAGGAAGGAAGGAAGGAAGGAAGGAAGAAAGGAAGGAAGGAGAGAGGGAGGAGAGAGAGAGAGAGAGAGAGAGAGAGAGAGAGAGAGAGAGAGAGAGAGAGAATATCTCTGTCCTGAGAGTGGCCTTGGTAGCAGTGGTTGAGGCGCTGTCCTGGGAGCCATGCCAGGGGCTGGCATGGGGCTTTTTGTCCCCTTACTTTCTCCTTCCTTTTCTCTTCAACACTTACTGCATCCGAGTGCAGACACTACCCTGAGTTTCTCCACTGGAAGCTCCAGGATAAGCCCACTTCTCACCTGCCCTAGAAGTAACAGAATCTAGTCGAGAACCTGGCATGAGACTGGCACTTAGGAAATATGGGATGAGAGCTACAAGTCATAGCTCATAAGCTGCTGTATGGGGCTATGCGCTACCCAGTGACTTCTTTTTAATATCCCTCAGCTTCCGAGTTCACTCCAATGTTGTATCCCATCCCAGAAAGTCCCAGGAAGAACCAAGGGAGGAAGTGAACCTATCCACGACAAGTGGTCGAGGGGAACCCTGGGCACATCCCTGTCTTCCCTCTCTGTCCCCATTCTCTCAAGTCAACAGAGGCAACACATACTCAAGCAAGGTCAACTTCTCAAAGCATGGGGCCTTGGGCCCAGTTCCCCTCTCTTGTCTTAGGGCATTTCACTGGGCACAGGAAAGTAGGCTTCTCAGGACACCAGGCCTCTAATTTTAGATCCACTAGTCTGTGTCCCAGCAGTGGGGGATAGCCTCCACTTTGGTGGAACAAATGTAAAATAACCTGATCTGAACTGGAGCCAATGGCCAGGGTCTCTTCTGGTCCTTCCTGCCTGAGGAAAACCACAAACAACTAGGACCCAAAGCATCCTGGCCCTTCTGTGAGGCTCCTATAGTTTGCATCTTTCTAAAAATAGCTATCTGTGAGTGCCAGACAGCCGGGTGCTGGTTACATAACTCACATCACCAGCAAAGCTCCTAAGTCTGCAAGGTAAAATGCCACTAACCCCACCATGACACACCAGGACACCAAAAGAAGGAGCTGAGAACTTGTCCAAGCTGGCGACCTGCTTATAAGGGCCTGCGCTGACACCAGAGCCTGGGTGCTTCTGAGTCTAAAGACTTATTTCTCCTGTGTCAACTTCTGAGTGATGTCCACTACCGTTTCTAAGCCGATTTTCAGACTTACTGGTTTACTGTATTATTTTTAAGGGTCAGCAATTTTATGCAGGTTCTTCTTTTGTGTGTGTGTGTGTGTGTGTGTGTGTGTGTGTGTGTGTGTGTGTGTGTGAAAGCCCAGGTACTGAATTTGTTGATCTAAACAGTGCATGCATTTTGGGTCCATGGAGGCAAAGGAAGCTTTCGGATGTTAAAAGGGGTGATATGAAGGTGAAAATGCGGGTGGGTTGAGGGGAGAATTGTATTTCGCTTTCTAGTCCTGTAAGGCTCCAGTGCGTAAGGGATTTAAAGGCAAGACTCTGTAGTTGGTTACCTATTTCTCTAACAAATGCTAATCAACTTACAGAGAAAAGGTTTAAAAGAGGTGGCTGAGCAGACAGGCTCCAGCTGCCAGGCCTGATGATTTGAATGTAATGCCCAAGGCCACATGGTGGAAAAGAAAACAACCCCCCAGGATGGTCCTCCGATTTCCATACATCATGTTCTCTCTCTGTCTCTCTCTGTCTCTGCCTCTCTCTGTCTCTCTGTCTCTCTGTCTCTCTCTGTCTCTCTCTCACACACACACACACACACACACAAAACATTAAAAATATATTTTAAAAGAAAGGTTGATTTTAGTTCATCATTTTGAAGCTTTCTGTCATAAATGATTGCCCACAAAGCTTTTGGACCAATGATAAAGCAGCCCATTATGGTGAGGTAGGAGGTGAGCAAAGCCTACCTCAAGGTTGGGATGCTAAATGAACGTCAGAATCCCACATCTTTCAGGGGCATGCGCTCAATGATCTACCTTCCTCTCAACAGTGCCGACCTTCTAAAAAACCAACCTAGCTCCAAAGTTTTTATCACATGGACCTGTGGGGTCCAGACCATAGCAGCTTCCTAGGCCAGCTCAAATTCTGGTCTTGCTTAATGCTTCCCCAAACAGGTCTCACTTCAAATTAAAAGCTCCTTTTAAAAAGCTGGGTAGTTGTGGCTCGCCTTTAACCCCAGCACTCAGGAGGCAGAGGCAGGTGGATCTCTGAGTTCCAGGCCAGCCTGGCCTACGGACTGAGTTCCAGGACAGCCCAGGGCTACACAGAGAAACCCTCTCTCAAAAGCCCCCCCCCCCCCAAAGTCCCTTTTCCAATTCTAATTTTTGCTCATTTGACAATCGTCTGGCTTAGACCCTTCCTTTAAATGTGTCCTTGAGCTTCTGTTTTCCTGTTTCAACCATCCAGGGTACAAGTAGATACAAGCCACACTTTTTTATTCCTTTGTCCCACACTGGCACTGTGCACATAGAAGTTGTTCAATAATAAATGATCCAACAAATAAAAGTTAAAGATTAATGAATTTGGAATAATTCAGGACCTAAGCAGATTTGGGTGGTGCTAATGATGCCTGGCATTTAAAAGCACATCAGGGATTACCAGACATTTCTTGTGCAGGTTCCTCTGAAAACCACAGCAACCCAGGGAGGGAATGAGTTCAGAGAGGTTAAGGACCTACCCTGGGAACCCAGATCTCTTCCTCCACAGTTTGTATTTCTTTTTGTTTGTTTGTTTTTTGTTTTTGTTTTTTTGAGACAGGGTTTCTCTGTGTAGTTTTGGTGCCTGTCCCGAATCTCACTCTGTAGATCAGGCTGGCCTCAAACTCACAGAGATCCACCTGCCTCTGCCTCCCAAGTGCTGGGGTTAAAGGCGTGCGCTACCATTGCCCAGCCTCACAGTTTGTATTTCTATTCTAGTTGACTCTCAAGGATGAACATGGGATGAAATGTGGAGACTGACTCTGCCTATAAAATAGCCTGACCAGTAGAGGGAGCAGACACACGCACGGGTCTGGGAGCCAGTGGGATCTGTGTGCTGGCCCAGGCACCATGGGCCAGATAGCTTTACTCAAGTTTTCTCTGTCTTGCCTTTAGAATGTCAATGACAATGTCCCTTCACCACTGCCTCGGGTGATCTCGGACACCGTGGCTGACACACAGTTAGGGAGCAATAAATCATCTCTCAGGACCCCCATTAGGGGGTCACAGAGACACAGAGACCAAAAAGACATCGATTCCTGTTTGATGATCTAATAGACATTTGAAATCAATTTGCCTACTTGAAACTTAAAATAAGCAGAGTTATATCAAATGGTCAAATAAATGGATTTGCTGAAAACATATTCTTGTACCCACCAAGAATTTCAGGAGGCAGATTAGATCTTGTCTGGACAGAAGGCCTTAAAATGGGGTGTGCCATCCACCCTGGAAGCTATTTAAACTAAAAAATGTTAATATTGTATGATAGTCTGGGATATCATGTGATAGGCCTGTCATCCTAGTTGTCTGGGAACTGAGGCAGGAGTTCATGGCCTGCCCACACTACAAAGTGAGGTCAGGGCCACCCTAGATTCCAGAGACCTGTCTCAAAATTTAGAAACAAGAAAAGAGAGCTGGGGATAAAGCACAGTGGTGGAATGCTTGCCTAGGATGAGTGCAATCCCGAGGCCCCAAAGGCAATAAATAAATATATATAGCTATAGATAGACTTTGTAGTAGAAAGACTGAAAGATTGTCACTGCTGCTTTCTTGATGGCAGAAGTGGGGCCAACAAACTTGCAAATACAGGAGTTTAATAACTTACCACTGCTCCATCAAGTCGAGCACCAGGAGCCATCACAGTGATACAACAGAAGGGTACTCCAAACGGAAAGACGATGGCCACACAACATGCAGAGTCCCAAGGCACAAGGAGCCCCCTTCCCCTTCTGTTCGAAAATATACTCAAGACAGAATAAAAAAATTCCGTCTTAAGATAAAAATTAAAATACCCGGCCAGGCAGTAGTGGCGCACGCCTTTGATCCCAGCACTTGGGAGGCAGAGGCAGGCAGATCTCAGTGAGTTCGAGGCCAGCCTGGTCTACAAAATGAGTTCCAGGACAGCCAGGACTGTTACACAGAGAAACCCTGTCTCAAAAACCAAACCAAACCAAAACAAAATAAAAAAAACAAAACAAAAATTAAAATACTAAAAAAAAATATTAAAATATTTTCATGGACAATGAGATTGTTAGTAATCCCCCCACCCCCGTTTGTTTAAAACTTAACATTTTTTTTTTTTGTTATAAAATAGTATACCTTTTTTTACAGGGGCAGAATTGGAGTCTCATTTAACATTACTTTCCAGAAAAGCTAGGCCCGTGATCAGGTAAATTAAGTCAATTGTAATAAAGTGACTTGAAGTTTCAAGGTAGTTAAAGTAATTAAAAGCCTGATGAAATCCAGACTCGGTCGCTAGACTTTAACTGTTGTGAGTCGGCAGTAGACAGCGTCTCCGCTTTTTCATAAGGCCCAAATATGGCCCAGAATTACATATGAACAATTGTTCACGCAAACAGCCACGTGACCTGTTTGTCCTCAGTACATGTAACCCAGACTCACCTATCTCTGGAGGAGTCGGGGTTGGCAGCACATCCCTGAGCCGAGTACGCTTGCTCTCCGCTACTTAATTTACTCTGCTGAAATGGAGTGGAATTTCAATGTAGAGTTACCCATTAGCTCCAAGGCTAAATTTAAACCTCTAATTAAATTAATCCGTTCATCTTAAACACTTTGCTTCTCCCGCAGAGAAGTGTAGCAAGGCTTCTTAGGTGTCACGGGGCCTAATTCAGGGCGACAGTTGTTCCATACTGTGTTTAATAAGTCACCCAAATGGCACAGAGAACTGGGAAGCAGCCGGGTAGTCCCGCGGTTGCAAGTTCTAAAACCACTTGTTGGGGGTGGGGCTAGAGTCGCTGTGTCCATAGGCAGGAACCCATATTTCTGGAACATACAACCAGGAGCCAAACAGATGTTTATGAAATAAATGGGAATAACTGTCCATATCTGTCCCCGTTTATAGAGGAGTAAAGAGACTACACTCGCGACATTTGCAAGGTGACGACAGGTACATGCGTGCAAGATTATTTTAGCCCGCCCAGATCTTCACAGAAAATGCAATACATTTTCAGGGACCAAATGAAAATCCTGGCTGTCTTTTGCTAAGAGCACCAGGGGTGTGTGTATAAATCAGCTGGATCACACAGAAGGTGCTCACACACCTAGGCAGCTAGGTGCCTTTATCCTTAATCTTGGCAGCCTCCCCCTGGGTCTGCGAAAGAGTGAGGGCACATCCCAGTGGTCAGCGACACCTTCGGTGGGAATGTCCACGTAGGAAGGTGTACCCTCCCACGTAACTGTTAACAAGGACCGGCGTGTCCAGGCCCATGGGTAACGCCAGATTCGGTTACTAGGTCGCGGTGCAAAGGCTCCAGGTGATCGCCCCGTAACTCTTCTGGGGCTGTAACCCAGGGGCTGTAGCTCACCGGGCTCTGTGGACACCCGCGATTCTCCGCCCGAGCGTACCGGAGTGACGTGCTCGCCTCCAGCACCTGGCTTCCGCGCGCCCCAGGAACAGCTGGGACCGTGGGGAGCGGTCGGGCGAGCCCCCGCCCTGCCACGCGCCGGGCTCTGCCTTCCTCCTCCTCTTTCACCTCCTCCAGCACGGTCGCCTCCCGCCGCTGCGGACTCCGCCTGCGGCTTTGTTTTCCTCCCAGGTCTCATTCCCCACACGTGATACTGTGTTATTGCAAAGAGCGCTTCGGAGCGCGAGCGCGGGGCGCGCGCACCTATAAATACGGCCGGCCGGGCCGGGAGCCCGCGACCGCGCGGCGCGCAGGGCCGGCAAGGCGCGCGTGGGTCCCGGGCGCGGAGGGCGAGCCAGGCGCGCGTGAGTCCCAGCGGCGCCCGAGCGCCCAGGGCCGAGCATGGCCCGCCCGCGGGAGGGCAGGGCCGCCGCCTCGCACACCGCCCGCGCCCCGCGCCCTGCCCAGCCCGGGTCGCCGAGGCTCGCGGCCGCCGCTTAGCACTGGGCACCCGCCACTGGTTTCTCCGGCTCCGCGGAACTGACGCCGCAGACGGACACAATGGCGGCGGCGACCGCCACCGCGGGCACGGCCGCCTGCAGCAGCAGCAGCAGCAGCAGCAGCCGCGGCGGCACGGACGCGGCGGCCACCAGCGGGGTGCAGCCGCCGCCGCCTCCGGCGGCCGCCGCTCAACCCGAGCCTCTCCGTAAGCCGCGCGTGGACCCGCGGCGCCGCCAGGCTGCCCTGTCCTTCCTCACCAACATTTCGCTGGACGGACGGCCGCCGCTGCAGGACGACGAGTGGGGCGGCGGCGAGGAGGGCGGCGCGACCAAACCGGGAGCGAAGGCTCGGCTCAGCCTGCTGGCCGCCGGCTGCAACGCGTTCTCGGCACCGGGCACCGCGGCCGCACCGTGGACCGCCGGCTCCAGCCCTTGCCCGCTGCCGCCGTCCCTGGTCCACCGGGCGTCGGGCGAATCGCTGCCTCCCCGTTCAGCCCCAGCTCAGCTGCAGCTGCCCGACGGGCCGGGGGGCGCCGGACAGGAGGAGCTGGAGGAGGACGATGCCTTCACCAACGTGCAGGTGCCACTGGCCAGCTTCTTGGGCTCCGGGACCCCCGGGAGTGCGAGCGGCAGTCGGGGCCGCCTCAACTCGTTCACTCAGGGAATCCTGCCCATCGCCTTCTCCAGGCAGAACTCGCAGAACTACTGCGCCTTGGAGCAGCCAGGCCAGGGCGGTAGCACTAGCGCCTTGGAGCAGCTGCAGAGGTCCCGGTGAGTATTTTGGACGCCACGCGCACCCAGTTTTGCAGTGTCCCTACGACAGGAACCCCACCGGGGTCGCTCCCACCCTCCTGCGCCTGGCTAGATCCCGGGCTCCTGGCCGGAATCCCAAACCACTAAGGCATTTGAAAAGGGGAAGAGGCCCAGGGAGTATGTGGTCACACGTGTGCATGAACCCGGCACTAGCAGAGCGGACGCACCATGCCCCTTCTTTGGCCAGGGAGTTGGAAGAAGCAGTTAAAAAGCTGCTCTCAAGCCTCCTGGTGCGAGGAGAACACCAGCTTCCTGAAAACCGGTCCAGACCCGGAGGCGCGTCCCCAGCTCCCGGCTAGCGCTGCTGGGTGCAGTGGGTGGGGCCGGGGCAGGGCGGCGCTTGGGAGCCCCAACTAGTAGCAGACACGTGGGAACCCCTTCGGAAAGTTTGTGGAGCCCGGGAAATCGTGTTTTCCTTTTGTTTTTCTAAGAAGTGGAAAGTTTTTCTGGCATTTCCTTGGTCCAGGCCTAGGGTGTGGGGGACAGAGAGGAAATATGGCCTGAGACTTCCATTCCGAGAAAAACTGGCAAGAGTTAGAAGCTTGCTGCATGCTTGTGTGAGTTATCTGCGGGTTTGTGACATCTCAGCAAAAACGTGAAACCTACTTAGTGGAGAAATAGCTGGAGTTCATTGCCGTATGTTAGGGCAGTTGGCCTTGGTTCTGTGTGGAATAGTGAGACTACAGATTGGGGGGGAAGCCGAGTGGAGTAGGTGGGGCTCTGCAGGCCTGTGGCGTGAGTCCTTCCATGCTAGTAAAGCCTCCTAAGAAATTATAGCATTGACTATCTTAGTTAACTAGCAATAACTTAGAGAACCAGAGCCTCTGTTTCCTTTAAGGGATGGGCCCTTGCCAACGTTCTGTGGCATCTAGGTAGGCAGGGAGACCGCCTCTGCTCCCTATGCTCTCCCGCGATGCCCCGGTGAAGGCTCATACTTGCTCCGGCCTGAAAAAGAGGGTGGCCTGTTGGAAAACTTCCTTGCTTAATGCAATGAGAAAAGAACCAGCTGGGCTCGCCCAGAAGTTTGCTGGCTTCCCAGTGTGGGAAGTCAGACCCTTGCTGCTGCAGAGTAAGTGCACATGGACCTTAGGCAGGGGTGTGGGGTCTGGCGGGCAGCCTCCATTGCACCCATGAATTAATGATACTGGGTTCAAGTGACAATCCTGCTGTGGCATTTCTTGTTAGAGCATGCATCTCTGGAAAGCTGATGAGTGGACGGGCAGCCCTAGGCTGGTGGAACTGTTACCACTTGCCATCACACCCTGGCTCTTTGTGACTTCTGAGTCTGAGCCTAAGCCCAGAAGAGGGCTAAAGCCAGTGTGTCGCCTGGAGGGCAGATGTGCTGACAGCAGCTGTAATGGGATTACCCTCCACTCCTCCTCCAGGAAACTCATTTGGGAAGTGTGGAGCATAGAGCATTTCTGAGTCAAAGGACTTCCTGAGCTCACTTGCTAATCCTAGCCCTGGGAACCTTTAGGGTGCCCTATTTACTTATTTATTTTTTGTTTTTCTAGACAAGTTTTCTCTGTGTAGCTCTAACTGTCCTGGAACTCACTCTGTAGACCAGGCTGGCCTTGAACTCACTGATCCACCTACCTCTGCCTCCCAGTGCTGGGATTAAAGACGTGCGCCACCACCAGCCGGCTAGGATCTGTCCAAACACATCACAGTATGTGCTAGTCTCAGAGATGTAGCCTTGCTTGGCAGTCATACTGACCAAACCATTTCTGAATAGCCTGTATTTGGCAACTTGATAGGTATGCATTTGGCAGTTCTTGATAGAGGCGGGCAGAGTGGAGGTTAACATGAATTGAGAAAGGTCAGTGTGGCCGTGGAGACCTTTGTCTGAGGTGTGTTACTTTTATAATCCCTGAAGAGGACTTTCACCTGCCCACACTTACCTCTGCTGGTCCTTGCCTTCCTGGTGTATTGGCTTTCTGAAGCCCAGTGGCCAGTGGGGCTCTCTCCATACACTGCTTTAAAAAAATGCTCCTGGGATGTGAGCTGCCAGTCAATTTGGACTTTCTGTGGATGCTTTCCTAGCTCTGTAAGAAGTTCTATGGAGCCTTGTTGCCCATGATTGTGGGCTCTGGTCCCTTTGCCTTATGGAGAGCTCAAAAGAGCAATTTGTCTGTTTCCACCCTGACCCGTGTGAGTTCATGTCCAAGCTCCCCAGGTGATTCACAAGCACCGCCAGAGTGAATCTCAAATCCACTCTCTTTCTAGTGAATTTAAGCTTTTCTGTATTGAGCTTGTCATGGATATATAAAAATCACAACTTAAAGACTTGGACTCTTAAAACTCCTTCTGGTTTCTTCCCTCTGGACTCTTGAGAGACTGAAGATGGAACCCAGGTCCTTAGGCATGCCAGGGAAGCCCTCCGCCACTCAGCTAGAACCCTGGCTCCTTTGGACTTTTCTAAAACCAATTAGAATGAATTGCTTTGCTGTCGTGTTTGAACTGCAGCAGAGAGGAGCATTTCTGTGGCCGGGCCTTAGAGTATGTGCTCAGTAACCATGAATCCAAGTGGTGGTCACCACCCCTGTACACCCCTGTACACAGAAACTAGATATCAAAGGCTTTTGACCCCTACAGCTGCCCCGTGTGTGGATTCTTTCGCAGAGGGGAGACTCCAGGGCTCAGAATGATTGAAGTGCCGTCTCAGACTGGTCCAGCCACTGAGAGGTACCCTGACCATGGCCCGGCTTGGGACTGGAGAGGAATCTGGGTCTTTGCCATCCAAACATGGCTCCTTCCCTTCTGCCTCTCAGCCTTATCACTGCCTTGCACACAGTAGGCCTGTTGATCGTTTTTGAGCTGCTGACTGTGACAGTCGGTGTAGAACACAGCAGGCCAGTGGTTCCACGTGATTCTGCAGCGCTTTTCTGATGTCTGACGTTTTTCTTCTGTTTCATCCTCCACCCTTTCCCACTTCCTAGGCTCCATTCTGTTTGCAGGGCTTCCAGGATCCTGCCAGTCTTTGTGAAAGGGTCTCCATGCAGGTCTGAGGTTTCTGAGATGGAAGCCACCAGCTGCCATTGAACTTCACACCCTGCCCTGTTTCCCCTCAGCTGGGGCAGTGAGCCCCACATGGGCAAGGTGTTAATAGGCAAAGGGAACAGATTTTTGGAACATATTTTAAGGCTTATTTTACTTTTAAAACATCATTTCAGGCCACAGCTGGCTTCAGAAAGCCTTGGGAGCTCCTGTCTGGCAGACGGCCACCCAGCAGTGCAGCATGGAGCTCAGGTGTGAGTGCCAGCCAGCCAGCCAGGCAGCCACAGGGCTGCAGTAACCGGACTGTGTAAAAATAGCGCAGGCCTTTGCCTTTAGAACACCTGAGTGGAAGGAGCCCATGTGATGAAGGACCCATGTCCTGCGTTGGAATGCTGGTCCCACCATAATGACTGTGTGACCCTGGGCAGATAAATCAACCCTTCCGAGTGACTTTACTCTTGAGCTCTCTGGCCTGTGTCTTGCAAAGGTCGTGGCTGTACTTAACTTTCTGAATGCTAAAATTTACTGAATACTAAATGTGCTGTAGGGTCAGGGCTGTCAGATGTCAATGTGGTTAACAGGCCCTGGGGATCTCTTCTTAAAAGGTCCAGTCAGGCACAGTAGTTTTTGTCTGTAATCCTGGCACTCAGGACCCTAAAGCAGGAGGATCAAGGCCAGCCTTGGGATAAAGGGGAAGTTGCTGTGGAGGGAGGCTCTACCCAGGTCTGACAGCTTCCTGAAGTGAGGCTGAGGGGCTGAGCTCAGAGGTCACTAGCTCAAGATCACCCAGCCCTTCAGGGCAGAGCCCAGGCTCTTTGCTGATGGCTTCTCCTGGTCACTTACGGGCATCTGCCGCCTCCCTCTGTGCTGTTCCTCACATCAGTGTGAAAACTTGGTCCGTGCCGCTGTAAACTGTAATCTCTGAGATTTTGTTGGAAAGAAGAAATGCAAACCATCCAGGAGTTGAGAGCCAGAGCCTGCGAGGGTCATTTTCCCCTAACTTTGTCACCTCTT